TTTGCCACAGGAAAAGCCCATGGAGAACTCTGTGCTTGTGCTGTGCGCTCAGTATTGGTTCCGGAGGCCATGAGTGTTGGGGAAGTGCAGGCATTGTTCTTTGTCTGAGCAGCCACTCACTATCTGTCTGAGCTTTGCCTGTCCTTAATTTTCTGTAGACACCAGATCTACCAGAAATTCTCACTTTTAGTATCATTTACCACATTTAACTCCATGTACAGTTTTTGGTAGGTATGTTAAAGTCCACAAGGGGGTGTCAAAAGAAAGAAATCCAACCTCTGGAAAGCAAAAGATTTTTCTTTACTAAGTAATGTTTTTAAATGTCCCTGGTGCAGGACTTGTGCTAGGGGGTATAGCTCAGTGGTAGAGCATTTGACTGCAGATCAAGAGGTCCCTGGTTCAACTCCAGGTGCCCCCTTCTTTTCCTCCTCTTTCCACCTTCCTTTTGCCCAAATCTTTCACAGAAAACACGTGGAGAGCTCTGGGGGGATCTGTGAGCTGGCTCTGTGCACTCAGTGTTGGTTCTGAGCTGCAGAATGCAATCCCTGGGTGCTGGGGAAGTGCAGGGCTCGTGCTGTGTGTGAGAACCACTCCCTGTCTGTGTGAGCTGTTCTGTGTTTTAAATTCACTGCAAGCACCAGATCGACCAGAATTTCTCCTTTTTACCATCGTTTATCACCATTTTACCATGCACAGCCTTTGACAAGAACATTAAAGTGCAAAGGGGTATGTAGAGGATTCCCAGACAAAAGCTTTTTCTTTCCCAAGAAACATTTTTAAATGCCCCTGGCACAGGTGCTGGTATGGGGGTATAGCTCAGTGGTAGAGCATTTGACTGCAGATCAAGAGGTCCCTGGTTCAACTCCAGGTGCCCCCTCCTTTTTTTCCCTCTTTCCACCTTCCTTTTGCCTAAAATTGGCCACAGGAAGAATCCATGGAGAGCTCAGAGCTTGTGGGGTATTGTTTCTGAGCTGCAGCATCCAAGGAACAGAGGGTCTGCTGGAAAAGTTTTGGGGTTGTGCTCTTCTCTGTGCTTAATTCTCTGTAATCACCACCAGAATTTGTTTATAATTGTATTTATTAAGTTATTGGATTTATTTTATTTCTTAATTATTGATTTTATTTCTTAAATGGTAGGAAAAATGTAATTTTTATCATCATTTACCATGTTTAACTCACTGTAGCTTTACCAGCTTACTCTCTGGAGCTGTCAAGAGAAGAAATCCAACCCCTGGAAAGCAAAAGTTTTTTCTATCCCTAGAAATATTTTTCTGAAATATGTTCTGACACAGGAACTGTGTTAGGGGGTATAGCTCAGTGGCAGAGCATTTGACTGCAGATCAAGAGGTCCCTGGTTCAACTCCAGGTGCCCCCTCCTTTCTCTTTTTGCTGCTTTTCCCTGGGGATTTTGTGGGGTTTGGTCACCGGACTGGCAGCTCAGCTTCTTCTCCTGCTCATTCCTTTCCCAGCTGCAGACAGAGATGGAAGCCAGGGGGAAAAAATGTCAGGGAGGTTCAGAGCACTCAGGGGACAGACTGAGACTGGGAAGGTATCGGAATAAACCACTCAAGACTCCATTTTCTTCACGGTGGAAAAAACCCATTCTTTATTCACATAACTTATTTTTATACATTTTGTACTATTTTATACATTTAATAAAATTTTTGTACCATTTTACAGCCCTCGTGTGTGAGTCCAATTGGTCAGCAACTTTCTTGCCAATTATTGGTTAGCAACAAATTGTTAATTCTGTATTGATGGGTGACTCAAACTCTCTGTGTGTACATGCAGGAAAAGTTGTTTATGAGAGACAATTTTCATTTTTCTAATGGTGTAAAAATAGTTTCTACAGGTGTAAGTTGTTTTTTCACCCAGGAACAGGTTGTTATAGTAACGAACTGCTCACATGAGGATTGCTTTCACGTGAGAACCTGCAAGGTGTTAGCTTCCCTCAGGAGAAACCACAGAACGACAGAGCAGGCCTGATTTTATGAGGCCTTTTTCTTATGATTTTTCCACTTATAATTTCCCATTTTTTTCTCATAATTTTTCCCAGGAAGCAAAGGGAAGGAGCTGGGGAGCAACTGGGCCAAGGCCCTGTGTGGGAGTGCAGTGGCTCTGTGGCTGCTGCCCCACAGATTGAAGCCAAATCCACAGGAACAGAAAACTCGGGGATTTTAGAAAAAACATCCTTGAAATGTTTTATTTTGCTGAAATGAGACCAGGGGGTATAGCTCAGTGGTAGAGCATTTGACTGCAGATCAAGAGGTCCCTGGTTCAACTCCAGGTGCCCCCTCTTTTCACTTTTTTTTCTCTTTTCCTTTTGCCCAAATTTTTCAGGGGAAGCTTGGGAAGGTCCCGGTGGATGTGGGAGGTTGTGCTGGGCAGGGAATGTGGGGTGGGAGCAGCAAGGGCCTGGAAAAGTGCAGGGTAGGAACCACTCACTGGCTGCAGACCTTTCTCAATTTTTAATTTTCTGGAGCAATCATTTACCAGAATTTCTCATAATTCCCATCACTTCCCATAATTCCCATCACATCATTTCTCATAATTTATCACATTTAACTCCCTGCACAGCCTTGGGCAGGCACAGGGAAGGGATCCAACCCACAGAGAGAAAAACCTCATTTTCTAAAAATTATGTGCCTGGGGGAGAGCATTTGAGTGCAGATCAAAAAGTGTCTGGTTTAGCTCCAGGTGCTCTCTTTCTCCCTTTTTTTCCACGGAAAAAATGAGGAAGATTCCTCCTTTTTTATACCCCCGGTGTCTGTGCCTGCACTCACACAAATCACAAAAAATACTTGAATGGATTTGTTTACTTGTTTAGATACTGATATCTCTCTGGCAAAAACAGGGAATTATGTCTTATGTTTAAAGCTTTTGTGTGGTGTTCGTTTTCCTTATTGTGTATCAATGAAGGGCTGACAAGTCCAGGATTAAAACTGAGCATTCCACTAGGAAAAAAATCCTGCAGGAATCCAACTTCTGGGGCAGTGACACAGTCCAGACACATTTGTTTCTGTGCAGATTTGGTTGGGATATTTTCTCACAGTGAGAACAAAACCTGAGCTGAGTTTAAGGGATTACTCCTTTTTTCCCTGTGAGGTAGGACAGGGGGTATAGCTCAGTGGTAGAGCATTTGACTGCAGATCAAGAGGTCCCTGGTTCAACTCCAGGTGCCCCCTTCTTTTCCTCCTCTTTCCACCTTCCTTTTGCCCAAATCTTTCACAGAAAACACGTGGAGAGCTCTGGGGGGATCTGTGAGCTGGCTCTGTGCACTCAGTGTTGGTTCTGAGCTGCAGAATGCAATCCCTGGGTGCTGGGGAAGTGCAGGGCTCGTGCTGTGTGTGAGAACCACTCCCTGTCTGTGTGAGCTGTTCTGTGTTTTAAATTCACTGCAAGCACCAGATCGACCAGAATTTCTCCTTTTTACCATCGTTTATCACATTTAACTCCCTGTAGCTTTACCAGGCACTCCCTGGGCTACACAGGGAGCTGTCAAGGAAAGAAATCCAATTCCTGGAACACAAAAGTTTTTTCCTTCCCAAGCAAGGTTTTTAAATGTCCCGGGCACAGGTGCTGGTGTGGGGGTATAGCTCAGTGGTAGAGCATTTGACTGCAGATCAAGAGGTCCCTGGTTCAACTCCAGGTGCCCCCTCTTTTGCTGCTCTTTCACCTTTTTCCTCCACAAATTCCTCATACACAGACCACAGCAAGCCTTTCTTACCCCTCTGAGGTCTTGAAAGTCACTTGGTGATGTTTTGCCAAGCCAGAAGTCCCACTTTGCCACTCTGCTCTCCCGAGTTCTGGAGGAAACACACAAACTCAACAGCTACAGCTCGAGTTTTTCCTGTTGGAGTAATTGCCCTGTATTTACACAGTGCATTATGTGTACAACACATTTCTAGAAGTCACTTTGGAGTAATTACCCTTAATTTACACAGTGAATGACTGTAAGTAACGCGCTCCTAGCAATCACAGCCCTGCTGAGCTGCTTCCTCCAGGCTCTGAATCCAGTCCGGTTGGGTGGCTGCAATGCCACAGCTCACCGTCTGGGCGGCCCCAGGGCTCGAACCCGCGGCCCTCGGCCCCGCAGGTGGCGGCGCTGCCCCTGAGCCACGCCCCGGCCGCGGGGACTGGGGGGGCGCGGGGGGCGCGGCGGGAGGGTGGGGCAGGGGCAGCGCGCCGGGCTGGGAACCGTGAGTACACGGGTTCGAACCCGGCCTGGCTCCACAGGCGAGACGCCGCTCCTATCTATCCCGGGAGATCACAAGCTCCAAACTGTGAGATCGCGGCTGTTATCCCGGGAAATCAGTACTTTTATCCCCGGAGATCACGGCTCTTATCCCGGGGGATCACTGGCTCTAACCCGCGAGGTTCGCCAACACTGTCCCGGGAAATCGCCAGCTCTGATCCGCCCGGGCACAGGCAATCCTTCCTTCCTCCCCACCACAGTCTGGGAGGTCCCAGGCTCTGACCCAGCCCGGGCACCGGCCGGGCTCTGCCCCGGGGCAGGCTGTGCGTCACTGGACTAGGGGCCGGAGCGCTCCGGCACTCAGGGTCCGAGGCAGAGGCGCTGCCCGCCCCCTCCGCGCGTCGTTGTGACGGGCACAGCCGGACAGACTCGTCCCGTGGCTTTGGGTGCTTTTGGAATTACTCACTTCATCATTTCCAGGCGTTTCTTTGGCACTGCTGCAAACAGCCTCATTTGAAACAGGCTCAGATCTTGTCTGAATTCCCTGGCTGGGCCCAAGGCCGGGCTGGGCGGGGCTTGGAGCAACCCGGGATAGCAGAAGGTGTCCCTAACCATGGCACAGGTGGGAATGAAGAGCTTTGGGGTCGCTTCCCACGCAAACCATTCTGGATTCCATGAACGGAATGAAAACATCCCCCAGGCCCGGTACCGAGGGGCCTCCCCCCCTGGTTCTTTCTTTTCCTCCTCGTCCCGAGCCGCCACCTTCCCCACCGCCTCAGCGGCGCGTCGGAAGTGACGCACTAAGGAGGAAGACGCGCGGAACCCCGAGCCGTGGCGCGCGGTGGTGACGTATTTCCTGTCCCGGTAGCAGCGGGGGACGCGCTCACCCGGCGGCCGCGATGGGGGGGGGAGACCTGGTGAGGGGAACCGGGGGGGCTGAGGGGGCGCAGAGGAGCTGAGGGGGGTGGTGACGTATTTCCTGTCCCGGTAGCAGCGGGGGACGCGCTCACCCGGCGGCCGCGATGGGGGGGGGAGACCTGGTGAGGGGAACCGGGAGGGCTGAGGGGAGCGTGGGGGGTCTGAGGGGGGACTAAGAGGGGTCAGTGGGTGCTGAAGGGACTGGGGCTGTGGGAGGGGTCTGCGTGGGGGGTGCGGAGGGGTCCTGGGGGGCTGAGGAGGGGCTGAGAGGCTGCAGGACCAGGATGTGCGGCTGCCCCGGCCCTGAGGCTGCTCCCGAGGCCAGCGGGAGCCGTGGGTCCGTTCTCCCGGTGCCAGCCCCGGTGCCAATGCCCTCTCTCCGCAGAACCTGAAGAAGAGCTGGCACCCGCAGACGCTGCGCAATGTGGAGAAGGTGTGGAAGGCGGAGCAGAAGCACGAGGCCGAGAGGAGGAAGATCGAGGAGCTGCAGCGGGAGCTGCAGGAGGAGCGGGCGCGGGAGGAGATGCAGCGCTACGCCGAGGACATGGGCACCGTGCGGTGAGGGGACACGGACAGGGACATGGGGACAGGGGCACCGTGTGTGACAGCACAGGGACACGGGCACCATGCGGTGAGCCAGCGGACAGCATGGGGACTGCACAGGGGACAGTACAGGGACAGCATGGGGAGAGCACGAGGACAGCACAGAGGTTGGGGTGGAAGGGACAGCAAAGCCCACCCAGTGCCACCCCTGCCACGGCAGGGACACCTCCCACTGTCCCAGTGCTCCAAGCCCCAGTGTCCAGCCTGGCCTTGGGCACTGCCAGGGATCCAGGCACAACTACAGCTGCTCTGGGCTTTCTGTTCCATCCCCTCCTCTCCTTGCCAGGGAGGAATTCCTTCCCAAAATCCCAAGCCTGCCCTCTCTCAATTCAAACCCATTCCCTGTGTCCTGTCCCTCCATCCCTTGTCCCAAATCCCTGTCCAGCTCTCCTGGAGCCCCAGTCAGGCACTGAACGACCCCTAGGAGGTCACCCCAAAGCTTTTCCAGGCTGAACAATCCCATCCCTCTGATCCCATCCTTGGGGCCGTGTCCCACAGCTGCAACCCCAAACCACCTTCCAACAAAGCGCTGGAGGAAGTGGGATGAATAAAGGGGGAATAAATAAATACATTATATTAAATGTATTAAATAAATATATTGCTATACTCTGTTTTTGGCATAGGAAGCGTGAGGAGAAGCTGGAGTGGATGTACCAGGGCCCTGGGGGGATGGTGAACAGGGACGAGTACCTGCTGGGGCGCCCCGTGGACAAGTTCATCCTGGACAAGGTTGGGGACAGGGACGGCACTGGGGACACAGGGCTGCTGCCCGGCTCCATCTTCGCCAGGGCCGGGGCCAGCTCCGTGCTGGACATGGCCACCAAGATCCGCGAGGACCCGCTCTTCATCATCAGGTGTGCAGGGACAGGGGGCCAGAAGGTGCAAACCAGCCTGGAGCAAAAACAGCTCAACTGATTACAAACCAAGCTGGAGCAAAAGCACTTCAGTTGATTAGAAATATGTATATATTAAAGGATATATACAGGATTATATTAGGATATATTACAGGATAATGTAATATGTCCTACAAATGTACTAATATATATATCCGATACATATATTTATTATCCTGTATCAAAAGCAGATAAATTGATTAGAAATATTATATTATCCTGTAAATATATATCCTTTAGTATATATATATATGTATCCTATAAATATCCTAAGAGATATCTATATATCCTATAAATATATATATTATGCTGTATCAAAAGCAAATAAATTGTTTATAAATATTATGTTATCCGGTAAATATATATCCTTTAATATATTTATGTGTCCTATAGATGTCCTAATATATATATATCCTATAAATATATATACTATCCTGTATCAAAAACAGAATCGATTCAATTGATTATAAGTATTATATTATCCTATAAATATATATCTATAATCCTTATATATATTAGGATATATATCTATCTTAATACATATCCTATAAATACATATATTATCCTATATCAAAAGCAGTTCAATTGATAATAAATGATCCTGTATCAAAAGCAGTTCAATTGATTATAAATATTATCCTACAAATATAAATTTATTAGAAATATTATATTACCCTATATATATATATCCTGTAATATATATATAGCATATAAATAACCTAATATATATATATCTTATATATCCTATAAATATATGTTTTATCCTATATCAATAACAGTTGAATTTATTAGAAATGATCCTATATCAAAATCAGTTCAATTGCTTATAGGAAGAGGGGGAACTCCTCCTCAGTTTTGCTAAATACACAACATTTCTCTTTTTTCCTGCTTTCTTTGTTTTTAGAGCTTGCACTTGCTGAATCTTCTCTGTGCAAATGTGATTAAAAAACCTGATTTTTTTTCCCCCTGCTTCAGGAAGAGGGAGGAGGAAAAGAAAAGAGAAGTTTTGAACAATCCAGTGAAGATGAAGAAAATCAAAGCCTTGGTAGGTGTGAGGCAAGGTAGGGGAGGAGCAAAAATCAGAATTTTTTATTGTCCAGGACAAGGAGCTGAGCTCTGTTTGTTCCTTAAATTCCTCAATTTTGAGAGAAAATCTCATTAAACAAGATTTATATGCCTATAAATTTAAATTTTTATATCTATACATTTAAATTTATATATCTATACATTGCAATTTATAAATGGCTATAAATAAAGAGGAGTTTTCCCTTTTCTTATAATCAAAAATTCCCATTTATAAATTGCTATAAATTTATAAATCTTGTTAAATGAGATTTTCTGCCTTGAAATTTATAAATGGCTGTACATTTTTATAAGTATCTCCACATTTTTATAAAGGTACATCTCTTGTAAACACTGCAAACACATTTTTTACACCTTTAAATAGAAAAATCCCGCAAATGTCTGTAAATTAAAAGATAATTTTTAGAGATTTGTTTGGCTTCAGTTTTTGTGCTTTTCTACATGGAATTCTGGTATTTTCCCTGTGGTCCTGAGGGAATTTTTGGCTTTGCAGCTGCAGAACAGTTTGGATAAAAAGGAGAAAAAGAGAAAGAAGGAGAAGAAGAAGAAGCACAAGAAGCACCGACGGCGCAGCTCCAGCAGCTCCAGCTCCAGCTCTGAGGAGGAGAGGCCCAGAAATAAGTGAGTTTTGCTTTTTTTTTTTCCCCGAAAAAAGTGAGTTTTTTTTTTTTTTTTTTTTTTTGCCAAAACCACCTTCATTCCTGCTTGTTTTTCATCTGCTCTCTCTCAGCTTTTTCTTTTTAATTAATGCTTTTAATTAAGTGTGTCATTAAATTGTTGTTTCATTGGTTTTACATCTTTAATGTGTGGTAAAAATGGATTTATTCTTGCAATTTGCTTACTTCAAAAGGACTTTCTTTTTTTTTCTAGGTCTCAGAAGAGGGTGGATAATTCCTCCTGGAAGGCTGCTCCTTCCAAAATCGCAGGATATGGCTTACAGGTACACCCTGGGAGGGGGAAAACCAGGAGTTTTGGAATTGCTGCAGCAGCTGGAACAGGAATGAATACATTTTAGATTCAATTTGGAGCCATCTAAGCCTTGAAATTCAAATCAGTCCATATTTTTGCTTGGAATTTGGGATAAGGTTGTTCAGATGCTCCTCATTATCCATGGAGTGGGTGGGAAGGGACATCAAAGCCCATCCTGTCCCATGGGGCTCCATCCTCTCCTGGGACACTTCCAGGCATCCAGGACAGCCACAGCTCCTCGAGGAATCCCACCCCAGAGAGGAATTGCCTCCCCCAGCTGTGCCAGCCCCAAACCTCACCCCTCTGCCCTGTGTGGGGCTGCTCCCCACGTGTTCCCTCTGAATTCCAGGTGAGGGACCCCGAGGCGGGGCCGCATTCCCGGGGTTCCCCGGGCCAGGACAGAGCCCCCCGGGAGCGCTCCCGGAGCCCGTCCCGCTCTCCCCAGAGGCATTCCAGCAGGAGGAACCCCCAGAGGAGCTCAGCATCTCCCTCCAAGCACAGCAAACAGTGAGTGGCAGAAAGCAGGGGAATTCCCTGCAGTCCTGTGGGGGCTCTGCTTCCTTCTTCCTGTCTCTGTTGGGGTCGGGATTGAAGGCACTCAACAGGATAGCTGTGTTCAGACTCAGGGCTGTGTTGTTTCTTACCAGTGTTGCAGTCTCACAGCAGTGAGTTCTGCAGTCTCTCATTAGCGAGGCACAAAAAGGTGAACTGTCTCTTGTTACAAGATCTTTTATATCCAATTAAGAAATGTCACCTGAATTATTTTCCCTTTTAACCCAATAACTGATCACTCATAGCCCACAGTGTGAGCTTTTCTGCCCAGTTACAAAATACCAGCCAAAGCCATGAAGAAAGAAGAAGGTGAAGAACAACCTGTGTCTGCCCTAAAACCTCCATCTTGCTTCATATTTATTACTATATTCTAAAACCCCAGACTCTTAAGTTTTCCACCCTGTGATATTACACACTTCTAATCAATCCACACCCATAATGCCAGTGCTGTCAATCAATTTTGGAAGCCTGTTCCACGGCCTCAGGACAATGCAGTGTTCTCCTGGGAGTCAGAGTCTGTCAGCACAGAAAGTCTAAAATTCTCAGCATCCAGGGTTCCAGCACAATCCCAACCCTGCTATCCTGTTTCTGCCCTGGAGCTGTCTGGGTGCTCCCAGGAGGGGACAATCCCACTTTGTGTTGGGGACATCCTCTTCAGTCACACCCTTGATGTGTTGCTGTGAATGGGGTTTGCTTGGGCTCCCAGTTCCCTTCAAACTGATCATTCAGAGTTGTTAAATTACTTAATACAGATAAAATTATAAAAACAGATATTGATTTTTGATAGCATCCTAGTTCTCTTCAAACTAATCTTTCAGAGCTGTTAAATTGCCTTTATTTAATACAGGTATTTTTTACATATATTTTTACAGATATTTATTGCCTTTATTTAATACAATTGCCTTAATTTAATTGCCTTAATTTAATAAAATTATAAAAACAGTTCTTTGTCAATTGTTGATAGAACCCCAGTTCTCTTCAAATGGATCACTGAGCTGTTAAATTCTATTTATTTAATACAAATAAAATTATAAAAGGCAGTTTGTTGTTGGCGGATGAAATAATTAAAAAGTAAATAATTAAGAAGTTTATTCAGATGAGGATTGTTCCTAGAGAGGCCAGGTGACAGCGCTGCAGCTGCGGGAGCCACCCCAGCCTCAGCATGTATTAAAACACCCAGGAATGTTTATAAATGTTTATAAGTGTGATCAAGATGAAATCAAATGTGGATTTTGGTGCTAATGAGGGCGATTTTGGAGTTGCAGGCACAGCAGCCGGGAGGAGAAGGGCAGAGCCAGGAGCCCTTCCCCCAAAAAGAGCTTCAGGCGCCAGCACCCCCCGGGCTACACCAGGTCAGTGCCAGCCTGTCCTGTCCTGTCCCTGTGCTGGGGACAAACCCCTGGGGCTGACCTCTCTTGTACCCTCAATTACTCTTTTATTTTGATATTGGCATCAAAATAAATCCTGTTCTCATTAGGATATTAAAGGCTGGTGGAAATTCTCTGTGTGATGGTTCTGTTCTCTCTCAGAACCTAACTAAGCAATCACTGATTTTGCTTTTTTCATTAATCTCACTCCTGCAGGTGCCTTACTTCAATTTGTAGCTTGGCAGATTTTTGTCTCTGCCAAACTCTGCTGGTTGTGAGAATGGTTTTATGGATGTGTGTCTCTCTTTTATGGAATGTGTCTCTCTGTCCAAACAGGAAGATCTCTCCTGAGGAGCTGGAGCGAAAACGTCAGGAAATGATGGAAAATGCCAAGTGGAGGGAAGAGGAGAGAGCCAACAACCTCAGGAAGCACCGCAAGGAGGAGGAGCTGGAGAAGGAGCTGGAGAAACTCGACTCCAGGGATGGGAAATTCTTCCAGTGAGTCTTTTACCCCCTCCTCATCCAAGGGGAATTCAGCTTCTTGAGGGATGGCCATGGTGTCTGGGGTGGTTCAGATCATGGGGTTGCACATCTCCCCTGTGCCTGACAGAGCTGCTGCTCCCAAATCTTCCCCTCAACCCAAAAAATGGTTCTTGCTGATTGGGAGTCAGACCCAAGCTGGGCATTGCTGATGTTTTGCCACTCTGGGAGTGTTTTATATACAGATAACAGTTTAGAAATAATTTTTTTAATTATATATTATATATTATATTTATTTTAATTTATTTATTTTGTTATATTTATTCTTTTTATATATTTATGCTTGTATTTATGAATTATTAAGAATAATTTAGAAATTCTCTGGTTTGGGGAGCTTGGGAGTTTGAGGCCTGCAAGTCCCTGTGAATTTGGGACTTATTGTCAATCTGGGTTTGACAATAAAACCTCTGAGCATAGGTGGGAATTTAATCCCTTGTGCTCATGGCAGCAAAGCCCTGAAGCTGCCCAGAGCTGGGATCACAAAATCACACAATCCTGGAATGGTTTGGGTGGGAGTGACTTGAAATCCCATCCAGTGCCACCCCTGCCGTGGCAGGGCCACCTCCCCTGTCCCACACTTCTCCTGGCACACTGCCAGGGACCCAGGGGCAGCCAAGCTTCTCTGGGAATTCCATCCAGCCCCTCTCCACCCTCCCAGCGAGGAATTCCATGCCAATATCCAGTCTCTAGTGGAAAGCTGCTCTCCTTCAGTCAGGGTTGTGATTTCTGTCTCTGCTCCCATTCCCTGCAGCCGTTTGAAGCTGGAGAGTGCCTCCACCTCCAGCCTGGAGGATCGGGTCAAGCGCAACATCCACTCCCTGCAGAGGACTCCTGCTGCCCTGGAAAAGAACTTTATGCAGAGGTGAAGCCTGTCCTGCCCTGGGCAGGAGCTCGGTGGATGTTTGTTCCCAGAGGTGAGAGCTCTTCAGGAACAATTCCAGCTCCCAGAGAGGATTCCGGAGCTGAGCCCTCAGAGCCCTCTGCGTTTGGGGCCTTTGTGTTCCATTTCTGACCTGCTGCCAGAGCTTCTCCTCCTCTCCCCACCCTGACTGGTGTCACTTTTGTACATTATTACCAGACTCTGCTTCCTCCTGTGCCAGAGCTGAAGATCTATTTTTGTTAATCCTTAAAATCCAGAGCAGAACCGATCCACACGTGAGGTAATCCCATGGAATTTGACAGGACTATATGAACTCTGTTCCACACTGTCACCCTTTGCACCCATGCCCCACAGTGGGGTGTCTGCTGGCATTTGGTGGCTCACAGATTTATTTCATTGATCTCTGACCCAAAAGAAGCAGCTTCTGAGGGGGGGGTGGAAAAAGGGAATGAGCCAGAGCGTGGCTGACACAGCAAACATTTCTCTGGGATTTTGTAATGTAAGTAATGTGCATATGTACAGCAGTGTAGATTTATTTTACCTTTTTAATTAAGAAACTTGACTGTCATTTGTTAAATGTCCTTTGTGGCTCTGGGGGGGGTGGGAGGGCTGCATTTGCTGTGGGCGGGAAGGGTCAGTGAGGGTTCGGGAGGCCGCAGCAGCCCCTTCCCGGCTGTGTCCAGCCCGCAGGCCGCGCCCCGGGGCCGGGGGTCCCCGTTGTCCCCCCGAGAGTCCCGCCGGGGTCCCCAAGCAGCCGCGGGCCCTTTAAGCGGCGGCGCGTGACGTGTGTAACAGCCCATTCATAATTCCAGCCGACTCGCTGCTGATTGGTCCTTTCCCAGCAGGGCGTGGCCCTGGCGGGCGCGTCACACCGACTAGGCGAGACCATCTCGGGGAAGAGGAGGAGGGAAGGGGGCTTTTTTTCTCTCTGTCTCTTTCTCCGTCCGTTATCCCTCTCCGTTGTTCCCCCTCACAGCCCGATGCGTCCCGCGGCTCTCCCCGCTCCTGCCGCAGCCCGAGCCGCGGCTCTCCCGCCGCCAGCGCCCGCCGCTTCCCCCGCCCGGGCGGGACATGGCACCTCCCGCTCCCCACCCCCTCAGCCCGCCGCCATCTTGGCGCCTCCTCGGCGCGGAGCCGCAGCGGGCTCGGCCGGCCGCGGCGGAGCGAACCACCGCGGGGGCGGGCGGGGGGGGGGGCAGGGACCGAACCACCGCGGCAGCGGCGGGGGGGGGGGGGGCG